CATGGAAAATCCCAGGACGAAGTACACTGAACTGGAAAATATTGGCAGTGGGTGAGTCCAACCCCAGTTACTTCTCCAAAATCATGGGCCAGGTGTTGTTTCACTGGTGGAATATCTATCAAGTGTGAAGACAGACAAGCTGCAAACATGTTCAGACACTGGGGATAGATTGTCCCATCTCTCAGTGCTGGCTCAAATTGGCAAGTGTGGTCAGAAAACATTGTCAAAGACATCTCCATGCTTCCATGCTCTTGCCTGCGGCAAGGAGGAGGATGTGGAAGAAGACAGCCGTGTCTCTCAAGTGTGGGACAGCTCCGTGTTAATTTCTTTAGCGTTTTTGCATATCTCCAAATCATACATCCACACTAACAAAAGGAGAAGAAGCTACCGCCAATGAGAGCTGTCAGATAATTTGCTAAAGGAAATACTCCATGCTCAGGATTAGAACTGCACAGTTTAGAAACTGATACCTGAGATGAAGGAATAAGCTTTCCTTTTGAGCTGAGGTAGGAAAGCCGAACACTTCAGGAGCAGGCCCAGTGCCCATGCACTTGAGGGGAAAATGCATCATCTGCCTTCTGGCAGACCTCTCCTACAACCTGCAGCTTTTAGGCATTTACAGCAGAGATCTCCTGTCTGGACTGGCTTTCACTCCAAGATCTAAATGGTTTCTCCTTTCTTTGCTGCTGTTTTGTTTCTAGGACTTTTGGGGACGTTTGTAGAGCACTCGACACTGCCACAGGAGGAGAGGTAAACGTCAACAGCACTCACAGACTCTGCTGCTATCGAAGCGTTTCCCCACCGATGGGAGCTGTGGCTGGAATTTTGGGTAGAGCTGTGCAGCAAAGGCACAAGAAGCACAGACTGGTGCCAGCCTGCAAATTGCACTTGGGAGAGTGTAAGAGACGGTCTGAAGATTTCCCTCATCTGTCTCACAACCGTCTCAAGGACAGAGACTGAGACCCTGAATATCACAAGGGACTTGGTCTGGGGGTTTGGGCCTAGCTGAGATGGATGTTTGCTAAGTGATTGTTTGCAGGTGGTTGTTTGCAGTGGTACACTGCTCTCGTTCCTGCTAGTGAGCAGAGGCTTGGTAACCTGTGCAACGGGTTTTCCACGACTCATGGCTCTCATTCCTGCTGGTGAGCAGAGGCTTGTGCGTGGAACCCTGTGCAATGGGTTTTCCACAACACCTTGCCCTCGTTCCTGCTGGTGAGCAAATACTTGCAAGACATGGATCACTCTGTACCCTATACCTGCCCTCTGTGCAATGGAATTCATCACAATGATCATCAATCTCCTCTGGTTTTGGCCCTGTGCCCCTTGCTTTGCAAAAGTCTATAAAATTATACCTCAAACTTACCTTCCTTTGAGATTTCCCCAACAGACAGAAGACCCTACGTTGTTGGACAGGTGAGTGGACCTCGACGTTGGTAGCTATAATCCCCTTACTCTCTTTTCCTTATGCTTTGCTTTCTCCTCTTTCCCCTCTATCGCATATTAGTGCTGATGAGCACTCAATAAAGTGTGTTTTGCTGTTTAAGCCCTTGGTTTGCTGATAATCTTTTGTACTCTAAGACCGATTAAAAGAACCACATCACAAATCCCACCTTGCGGATCATGACAGACAGTCTTTGTCCTTAGCTGCCAGTAGGAAGGCAAGGAGCCCACTCACTCTCAATTGCTAAAACAAAGGTTGTCGTTCCGATTGGGAACGGCGATAAAGAACGACAATGGACTCTCAAGGGAGTCACAACAGGAGAATTCCTTAGTTTATTGCTTCAGCCTGTCTTATAGACAGATACGTGGAAAGTACAGAAAAGAAACTCTTATTGGTTAACGAAGTGCTACATCACCATCATTGGTCAGGGTGGCCCATCACCCCCCTGGCCTTCTGCAAGAGAAAACAAGACTGCAAAACAACACCTGCAAGGCTGTTTAGCATCTCTGAGAATTGTTTTAATTCTTTCTCATATTTTTCCCAGGCTATTTTCTCAGGCAGCCTGAGGAGCCATGCGGCCTGCAATTGTACAGGCACTGTGGTTCAGATTTAGCATCCATAAAAGGTGATGCCTTAAGGCATCTCACTGCTCTTTGAGGCTACAATTCAGAGTCCTGAATCCTCATTTCTGACTGCCAGCAAATATATCTGAATGTTACTGGTAGCTGCTTAGCCACCTGCAGTGCTGCACTTGGGAGCCACATGCAGGGAGAGATCTGCAAGGTGCTCCTAAAAGCCCCAAGCCCTGCCCATAGCACATGATGTATCCACTGAGGACTAAGGATGTTAGTGGAAGGATGGAGTGTTTCTTCTGAATCCCAGACTGAGCAGAAAAGAGTGTGGTCAGAGTTTTGTGGGTGATAGTTGGGACATCTTTGTTGCCAAGTGGGCAAGGCAAAATGTCAGTGGCCATGTGTCCTGTCACTGGCCCCCAAGGGAGCAGAGAATTGGGCTGTTGGAATGTCAGTTCCTAATTACTCCAATGTCTAACCAAAGGCACTTTGGCACAGCTTGTCTGTGTCACTGCAAAATCACTTGCGCCGTGTGCGTTGTGGTCTTGTGCCACCAGCTTCTTAAGTTACTGATTATCAATATCATTTTAGGTGGCCATAAAGAAAATAAATCTCCAAGGACTGAGGAAGAAGGGACTAAGAGTCAATGAACTCATGGTCCTGAAGAAGAATAGGAATCCCAATGTGGTTACCTGTTTAGACAGGTGAGTTGTTGTGCTTTTTGCCCATGAATGTTTGTTTACATACTGCAGACATGCAAGGCAAAAACCCGCTTTGGACACTGGCAGAAAATTGAGCTGTTAATTACTGGTAAATTATTATTGCTGAGAGGACATGGGGAAACACCATAAATTCCACAAGAGTTAAGAATTATGTGGGGTGTTATACATTGGAGGGGAATCTTAGGTATTAGGCATTCCAGGAAGTGTGTACCGCTCAAGTACCTCAGCCAATAGGGAAAGAGAGAAGGGACATGCGGCTGGCAAATGAGGATAAAAAGGAGGCTGTGCCCTTCAAAAATTTGAGAGATCCCAGGGGAATGTCCCACGGCCCCTCCCTTTATTCAAAATTTTTGGCCATAAACCTCTGGTGTTTGGGAATTTATTTTCCTGACATTGCACATCTCCAATGTATCGTTAGAGAGTGCATCTTGTCTGCATGAATCTTCTCTGGCACATGTAGTTTGAGAATTGCTCAAAAACCTGGATCAGTCATATCTTACTAAATCAATAGCCTGTAAGTTCACGTACTCACCACATTCTTTTGGGGCTTGATTTTTTCAAATGATTTCTTACATGCAGATAAACAAACAAGGATTTCCCTTGAATTGGCTCCCCTTTTTTCCATTGCTGTCCATGCCAGAAAGACTATGTGCTTGTTTCCAGAACCATGAACGTGACAGGATTTCTTATCTGTTACTAAGTTGCATTTTTCACTTGCTGGCCACCTAAAGACATCTCCTTTTTGCAGTTTGCATCTTTATTCTTGAGACAGATTGCAAACACTGCACAGCCTAGACGGGATGGCTATTCCTGTTATTCTGTCCTAGTCACAAAGAAACCTAGGAACAAGAATCAACCAAGAAACCAAAGTAGCCATGCATGTGTGTCTCCATGTACTTGTTTCCCTCTTTCAGCTACCTTGTGGATGAGCAATTGTGGCTGGTGATGGAGTACATGGACGGAGGCACTCTGAGTGATGTTATCAGCCAGACCCACCTGTCTGAATATGAGATGGCAGCCATCAGTCGGGAGGTCAGTGATCCCATCTACACTTCCAACGGTTTGGGCAGGATTGTCTGTGGAACTAGGACTCTGAATGGGAGTGATTTCATGTGCCAGGCTTTGTTTCTGTGTTGCTGGTACGCTGTGGGCAAGCAAGAGCACCTCAAGTGAACTGTCTGCCAGTGCCCCTACACTCATTGTACTCACTTCTTGTATTCTTATCTCCTGCTGTTGTATTCTAACTCTGTTGCTTGTATTTGGATTTGCTGTTCTCCACTTTGCCTCTCTAAACATTTATCTTGAGCCTGTCTGCACTGCATTCCCTGCCTGTAAAAGCAAAGGTGCTGGTTGTCAGGATTTGAAATGAACAGCAGAGAAGAAAGTGACTCATTTCTCACAGTCCTCAGCTGGAAAGGGTAGTAGTGCAGCCAAAATGCTCTTTGCTTCTGGCAGGTGACTGATGTGATACTTCCAAGTCTCTGCTGAGGCCAGCAATAAATCCTTTGTCATGCAGCCTGCCACCCAAAAGTGATCCACTTCACACCAAAGGGAGGGACTTTTTCCTGTCTTGGAGAGCCTTCCTTTGTCCTCTGGATGGGGAGAGGACATCCACTGCAGCTGCAGTGACTCTGCCTGGTTTGCAGGGGACAGTCTACAACAGCAGTTGCTGCTGCTGTTGCAAAAGCTGCCATGCCTTTCCTGACAAAGGTCCTGCTCTGCTCCTATTGCAGCAGCAGGCTCTTCCTCTCAGTGGCACTGTGTTCTGCCATTACTCCCCATTCCCCTGCAAAGGGAATTTTTACAGCTGTTTCCTTGCTTGTGTGATGAAATCACATCACTCATTTTTGCCCCCTTGTTTCTATTTCTCTCTCAGTGCCTACAAGGACTGGATTTTCTTCATTCGAACCATGTGATCCATCGAGATGTGAAGAGCTGCAACATCCTTCTCAGAATGGACGGCTCTGTCAAGCTGGGTCAGTGTATTCTTGGTTAGGTTCAGCCTTCCAGGGATGTGGGGTGTGGGGGCTGCTTTCAGTGACTGCCAGCTCCCCCAAAATGGTGCTGCTGGCAGTGGAGGGGCCCTGATGTGGGCTGAGGGCTCAGTTGCAAATGTGCAGAGAGGTATGATAAGGAAGCACAAGTCAAGAGTGGCATTGGTCTGTGTATGTGTGTCCCTGCCAGAGGGAGGGAGCAACAATCTGAACCTCCAGGGGAATAAAGGCCCCTGCTGTGAGCAGTGTTTAAAACCCTGGGTTTTTTGGGAGGTGGCCAATACCATACTTCCTTGGCTAAGGCTCCAAGGAAATGGAGAATGGAAAGTTCGTCCAGGAGATTCAACAACACATTCTGAGACTGGGAGTGGGCAATTCTTTTGCTTGGTTTCCTAATTGGAGCTGCCTTTCATGGTGTGTTGTTTTCTCCACAGCTGACTTTGGCCTTTCTGCTCAGCTCACCCCTGAGCACAGGAGACAGAGCTCCGTGGCCGGCACTTCTGGGTGCAGGATGCCTGAAGTCGTGACAGGGCAACCGTACGGCCCCAAAATGGACATATGGTCTTTTGGAATTGTGGGCATCGAAATGGTGAAGTGATGCAAAGTACTCCCTGATCCTGCTGACTTTCTCACCTGTCCCATGTTCTGTGTGCCACTGGATAAAATGCCATTGCCATCTGCTGGCACTACTTCCACCAAGGTCCCCTTCTAAAAATGTCCCTGTAACACATCAGCATCTGCTGTAGGTTTGGTTGCATCAGCAGGCTAGTGGCAGGTACCCAGTTCAGAAACGTGCCATATTGGCAGGTACCCAGTTCAGAAACGTGCCATTTTGTCCTTCAGCCATTCCTGACATTTCTCCTTTGCTTTTTGAACACTGTTGGAGCTTTGTCTCTGAAGGACAAGAATATTTCAGTGGAACAGTAAGATGTGTGATGAATATCTTTCAAAATGGAGGTTGAATCTTCCCAGTTTCAGTTTTAGAGAAAAAGTAAGAAAAGAGGAAAAGGAAAAGAAATAGAAAGAAAAAGAAAAAGAAAAAGAAAAAGAAAAAGAAAAAGAAAAAGAAAAAGAAAAAGAAAAAGAAAAAGAAAAAGAAAAAGCACCCTTGTCTGTTTCTTGGTAGTCTAACAAGTGGATGAACTCGCAGTTAGGTGCCTGGGGCTGGGATCCAAGGTGTGTGGTTGACACCGGTGCTGTTCCTTTAGCACAGGAGCAGGGCCATCCTGGGTTGCACAGTGCCAGTGACAGTGAGGACTCCAGCTCCCCACCATGTTGTGTGGCTGAGCTCAGCTCCACAGGGACAGAATAAAACCTCCTTTGTGACCTCTGGTGATGTGGGAAAAGGAAAGAAAGCTGCAAGAATTACTTTTACTCAAGGGGAATGTGTTGGCTGTTTTAGGATTGGGAGGTTTCCTGTGGATTGAAGAACACATAACAAAGTCTCTCTGGTCACCATCTACTTCAGTGCCACCAGCACAGAGCTGTTAGCATTGGGATGGGTGCTTTTATGGAGACCATGGCAGAGCCTGGTGTCATGGAGAACTTGCAAAAACCTCCCATTTCTTGCCTGGAACTTTGTGGAATGGGCACATCCTTAATGCATTGACTTGAGTATCCAAAGGAGCAGAGGATTACCATAGGGATGCCACTTCTCCTTCTTCTGTGTTGACCATGAGAAGGTTTCCTTTTTGCCACGTAAAGAAGCAGAAACCTGCAGACTGCTGAGACGCAGAGCTGCAGGCAGCCCCTGTGTGCCCCTTTGTGCCTAAACTGGCATTTTCATCCCAATACATTTGTGCAGGCATCTTAGTATGTCTGTGTTGAATATGAGATTCCAAATGCTTGTTTCCTTGCCTGAGGAATGCCTGGTGGTTTTCCTTTCTTTTCTTCCAATTACCATTGTTTTCGAGAACAACAGCAGCAAAAGCTTGATGACTTCTGTTTTAATTCCAGCTGTGCTTAAGGGACCAACAAGCACTGCAGAGATTATTCATGTAATAATCCTTGGAAACAGTAGAGTTAGTATAGCTAAGTCTCCAAAATAGTCATATGACAAAATATGTCAAGCTGGTGTGAATCCTCAGAGAAGGAAACATGCTTTTGGTGACGTAGTTCCCATAACCAAGTCAGTCGATGTAATCAGCTGCCAAGGCAAGATCTGCTGGATGTTGGAAAAGCTGCATTGGGATTAGGTTTTTTCTTGGTATAGGACAGTCACCTCTACCTCTCTGCTATGGCAGAAACTGCCAGTGCAGAGTGGAGCTTTAACAATGGGCTCTGGGAGAGCAGTTACAGATGGGAAAGAAACAGGTGGAGCCTTGTGTTTCCTTTTTTTCCAGCATCAACGGATAGCCACAGGAGGGAGACCAAAGCTGCAGCAGCCCAACCTATTCTCACCATGCCTGTGTGATTTCCTGTGCTGCTGCCTGCAGACAGACGAGGCACGGCGCTGGTCTGCCAAGGAGCTCCTGCAGGTAAAATGCCGAGGGGCTGCAGGTGAAACAGTGACCCAGGGATGGGCTCCTCCTCCACTGCAATCCAGGTCATCAGATGAGCCTTCCTCCTCCTCACCTGTAGGGACCTGTAAAGGTCACCTGATCCAAGTGCCCTGCAATGAGCAGAGAGATCTTTAAAAGGATCAGGATGCTCAGAGCCCTCTCCCACCTGCCTGGAATGGTTCCAGGGACAGGGCACCTACAAGTTCTTAGGGCAACCTATGCTAGTGTTGCATCATGGTCTGAGTGAAGTTCTTCCTTAGACCTTAGGGGCGCTGACTTGCTCCCTTTTTAAAAAAAATATTAGCCCACATCCTGTTGTAACTGGACCTGTTCAAAAAGATGTCCCACACTCCCTCAGAAGCCAGTTTGAAGATTTGGAAAGTGGCAATGAAGTTTCCCTGGGGTCTATTCTTCTCCAGGCTGAATAACTCCAGGTCTCTCAGCCTGTCCTCAGAGGAGAGGTGCTCTGTCCTGACACTGTTTCTGTTGCCCTGTTCTGTAATTTGGTGGGGTGTTCAGTTTTATCTAATGGCAAGAGAATTGAAGTAGAGCAATCCAGATTACAGAGGTGTGTAATGGTGGTGGAGGAAGCCAAGGAAACCAGTCCCGGCTGAGTGGTCAGAGATTTGGCTGTGGGAAGGAGGGGCTGTCGAGGGCTCACTGTGAACCTCCAAGGGGCCCTGGTTTGTGCCCCCTGCCCCTCTCTCAGAGGTTTCTGCCGTGCAAACAGGGACAGCTGAGTGGGACTTGTCCCTGCCCCATCCTCAGCCTGGCACGGTCAAGCAGACAGCAACTGCCCCAGGGTTACTGCCAGGTTGTGTGGCAGAGAGGGAACTGCAGGACCCAGTGCCACTTGGCTGTCCCTGCTGGGAAGGAAGGTGCCATCCAGTACTGGAGGAGCAGGGCATGGAAAGGTAGACACTGCTCGGTCTGCCTGTGGAAATTAGCACAGTGCCTGTTTTTCAAAGAGAGGAACCTATGTGAGGCTTTGGAGTTTCCTGAAAGGTAGAAACCCCAGGGACAGAAAGCACCATTTCTAGAGCAGTGGCGGGGAAACAGTCCCATCAAGATTAGACACCAGAATTCACGGATGAGTGGGACTCTGGGCCAGGTTTGCCTGTGATGGCAAGGTTCTGCACATGAAGATGGAGGTGCAGATGATCCCATCTTCTGGGTCTTTCTAGGAAGCAGAGGAATCCTGAGTGAGCCTGTGAAGCACTGAGCTTGGAAAGTCATGGTTTAATGCTTTTTGTTGTTTTCTTTCCTTTGGACAGCATCCATTTGTAACATCAACCAAGCCAGCATCCACCCTGTCACCACTCATTATTTCATTGAAGAAGAAGAAGAAGATGACAAAAATGTGACAGAAGACATTATCTGCATAACCAGTGTAGAGCAGTAGTGTAGGATTGCCTAGCAGTTTTGTAGAGTAGGATTGTAGAGTAGGATTGTAAATAAATAAAGTTTTCTGAAACATCAACTCATTTGGAAGATTCCCTTCCTTCTGACTCTTTCAGAAAACTCCAAGAAAACTGTGGTAATGGACATTTCTGGGAGTTACTTAGTTTCTGTGTAAACCCTTCCTGCAGCTGTGATGTGTTTTTCCCCTCCCCTCCCTGTCCGTGAAATGTTATTCCCTTGACTTGGTGTTGTATGTCTCTCGGCCCCTCTCCCGGGGTTTGAAAGAGCCTGGGAAATGTATCCTCTCCCTCTTTTCTCTCCTGGATCCCAGCCAGAATAAATATCCTCCTTTATTCTGGAGGGTGAAGCAGCCCCTTGGTCTTTTATCTTGGCTGTAAAGAGCCTTCCTGGCCCCCTCCCCCCCCACCCCCA